GTAAATGGCCCACTGCATGCGACTCGAAAATGCTGAGTGTTAATGTTAATGGATTTGTGCCAAGTTCTCGCCGTACATTGTTGGCTCACTGATTTATTCGTGGTCAAAAGCGGGACACTGTTTTTTCTGTTTGCGTTTGACTTTGTACGCTGGCACACTTCTACATTTTTTCTATTTTCTGCTTTTGACCCACAAAGGTTGCCCGGCATGTCCTTTCCCGCTCTAACGACTTCCTGAGACGTTGCACACATACAGCCGTACGTACTTTATCCAATTTGCATGCCGCAGTCGACGTCGAAGTTAACTTGGCTAAAAGAGGACCGAAGTGTAGCTGGCCACGCCTTGTTTATTTTTCGTGCCTTACGTGTTTATCGCCTGCAAATGGCGATTCTGACCGAAAAGTGAAAGCAGTCGCGCCTCTGGCTTTCCCAGCTTTCTCTGGCTTTGCCTTGAGTGGGTGTGGTGGGTGGTTTGGCTGTGCACGGAGTTCAACCTGCTCGGCATTTCAATATCAACAGAGGCATGCATAATTTCTTCGGCCGAGCCTATGTAAATTTGCTCGGAAGTGTTCTGCTTCGAAAATGTGGTGGTGTTGCTGCTGTTCCACATTTTCCACCGCGTCGGCATCGAAAAGCGGGTCAACTTCATTTTTCGTGCTGACCCACAACCGCAACAACAACAACAACAATCAGGCGTTTGATGTGCGAAAGCCACAAACACAAATTAGCACAACAGCAGCAACATCGGCGGCAACGGCGACAACAACCATAATTTCTTTTGCAACAGTGCGATTTTTACTGGGATTTGGACATACCCACACACACATACACACTCACACACACACACACACACACAGGCACACTTGCATTCGATTCGCGTTTTTGGGTTTTACTGCCTTTGGTTGGGTTTTTATTGTTATTACTTAACGTCGACGCTGCCGACGAGTTCGTTTGGTTTTCAACAGCGCCTTGGCATAAAGTCCAAAGTGCAAATGCTTTGCGGTCAGTTTGGATTTGAAGTTGGCCAGCAACGCGACGCGCAGCTCCTGCGGAAAGTACAAAAAGCAGATCCTTTCGGGAAACACCTTTGTTTGCCCATATGTGCTGCGGTTTTCCCTGAGTTTTTGGCTGCTCTCTGCGGTGGTCACCTTGCGCCCATTCGCTTGCCACTCGCCGGCCCACAAGGAATCGCTCAGCGAAAGAGGATGCGTTTATCCTGGCAACACAATGGCTGAAAGGAAAAGCAATTACCAGTGAACAAAGCCGAACTGGGTTTTCAGCCGCAGCCCCAAACGAGATTTTTAAAGACACTAAACCGTTCCCAAGGGTAAGCAACATTTGGGGGTATCTTTAGTTTACGAATTTATTAAGTACTTTACCTTTGAAACTGATATGTTCGCATACAATTCTTAGACTTAAATAATGTAATATTCGGTAGCTCGTTTATTCTGTTTTCTTTCTCAAAGTTATAACACTCACAGCCCATATGTATGAGCAGGTTGAATGAAAGGGTTATTCTTAGAAAGTTATTTTGAAATAAGTATGGTGCTTTGCATCTAAAATTTTCATAAAGTTTCATTTAATTCGCAGAAGTTTTTCGAGCGCCATCCATGTATTTAAATTGCCATATTATTTTTGCTTAAATAATCCAGTAGCTAAATAAAAAATCTTCGAAGCCTCTTTATGAATTTGGTGCTGATGAATTTTATGACTTCAAAAAGTATAACACAACACAAATATTTTGTATATATAGAGGCAAATATTTATTGTGCTCGTTGCAATATTTCATAAAAGTTTGTATACTTTTTTGTGAAGTTGGCCTGCAGCGTAGAATAAAAACCAGGCAAAAAACGTGAACAACTTTAACTTTTATAGGAAAATAGAAGGGGGCTCTGGCGGAAATTAAAGCGCTGCCAAGATGTTTAATATCACCACCTGGCTGGGGGAGAGATCTAAAATAATTTTATTTGCCACACATTACGGCAGACATGCAGGACACCATCCGCCATTCTCGTCCTGCGAGTTAAACAAAACTTTTAACGCATAGCCAGGACTCGCAGCGCATTTTAGCTAAAAGCATTTCAATGCTGTTAACTATTTTTGATGGCGTTACGCACTATAAACCCGCCCGAAAGAAGGCAAAAAGGATGGGCAGCCAGTGTATCCCGAAAAAGCGAGTGGAATGGGAACTCCATGAAATGGAAATCTCAACGGAATTGAAACACTTAATTTGCTCGCAATTTGCCACCCACATCACTTGAATGCGATGCATATGTACTTATGTACTACGTGCACCTGCCAGGGAATGAGACAAAGCCGCTTAGCGATGCATGGACGCCCTTCATGCGGTCTGGATGGGAATGGAGATGGGAATGGGTATGGGTATGTGGATGCAGTGGTGGATAGGTGGCCTGTGGCCTGGCTGGGTGGTGATGTTGCGTTAATGAAATAAAAATTAAGCTGTGATGCCAGCCAGGACGAATTAATTGTGTGTCGCCAAAGGGAAACGAATGAGCTGCAGTTCGACTCAGTTCCATCCAGGATGCTCTGAGTTGGCCAGCGGCAATGAAAAGGTGTCGGCAATTAAGTGAATTCAGCACTTGCTATTGACTGGGGAATGCTCGCTGCGCTTCTAAGGGAATGTTGGAGAACGGGAGTGAAGTGGTCGGTTGAGGTTCAATCAGGATGTGTGCATACAATGGATAATTAATCTTTAAGCTGCCGGCACTGGCAATCCTCCTTTGTATTAATTAAGGCAGGGCACTTATCGATTTTAATTAGGGGCAATGGAAAATGATCCCATTGAGTTGCAAGTTTGCGGGTACCAATTTATACCAGTTAAATGGACGTATTACCAACTTACTAATATGCAAGTGTACACAAAAATTAAAATAATAGGACATTTCACAGATTCTGGCTGATTTTATATACGCTTGTCTATGCTTTTGGCACTTAACTTCCTTTTTTTTGCTGGCGTCTATATTAATGGGGCATGTGTTGCTGCGGCTGGGGCAACAATGTATCCGTTGGAGTTTGCCAACACCATGCCAATAGGATTAGCACAACAAAGTAGCGGGCTGCGAGTATGAGCTTGAGTATGCATGTGGCAAGTGCGTGCCTGAGTGCACCTGTCAGGGCTTTTAAGTCATCCACCCAGTCATAGCTGGCTGTGTTCGTGAGCCCAGCAACTGACAACTTGACAGGACCGGCAGAGGAACCAGGTCTTGGAGCCCAGTCCCAAGTCCATGGCTCGCATTCACCAGTCTGAGCAGAGCCAGCAGTAGTTGGCCCGTTCAGCAGTTTGGATCGCCAGAGCAAACAAACGAATGGAGCCTTCTCACTGGGTCGTGCATGCGGGTGGCTTATGCTCATGTTCTGCTCCTGGTCCTCCATGCAAATGGAGCAGCACCAGTGGCACCGGCAAGGACATCATCAACAAGTACACAATGTGCGACCACGTGTGCGAGTGCGAGTGCGAGTGCGAGTTGCAGAACAAGGGTCCACAATGAGCTGCCAAGTTCAGTCGCATAAATGCATAAGCCGCAGCACGCATACATATGTGGGCAAGGCGATGGCAGGTGGGCAGCCAGATAATCACGCCGCACACGGAATGGGTGGAGGTGAGCCGCCAGGAGACAGAGAATTCCAGATTGCACCGCTGCGTACCCACTTTAATTAGGGGTTCCGAGTTTCGGCCACGCCTCGAGCAGGGCCAGGAAAAAGGGCTATACTCTGCAAGCGGACGACAGAAGTGAAGATCAGAGCTTCGAAAATCAGAGGGAAAACTTTTAGAAGTTCACACAAATTCCCCAAATTCCACAACAAGGTCTAGGTTTAATGTCGAAAGTTGAAGTAATTTTATAAATGTGAAGGAATTCCAAGCTGCATTGATTTTTGTGGCTCATTCATGACGAAACTATAAGTACATATGAAATAAGCTATAAATAAAAACACAATTTCCGTTCATTTTAAATATAAAAAGCCAAGATTTATCTTAAATCGCTTTAGATATCCTTGATGCATTCTTGGTAAGCACACACAGCGAATCCCTTGCCAATCAGCCGCTGATGATGAAGAGCATGCCAAGTTCGCTGTTCAACAGCAACATTTGGCCCTTTGTGAGTGTTCAAATGCAGCTGCCAAAAGTTGTCTTAACTTGAGCACACTGTGTGCAGTTTCAGTTTATTTCTGGGGCATTTAAGTGACTGGCCGCCATAGCAGGGGTTACTTGGGATGCGCTCCTGCGATGCTCCTCCAACCCCTGATCCCTGAAAACTAGAAGCCCCTCCGGTTACCACCAGTAGTTGCTGACTGCCTTTGACGTTCCACGACGACTAGGAACTGGTAACTGGGGTTTTTTTTTTGGTTCTTTTCTGGCTTTCGCTGCTAGGACGAGTGGAATGTCGGCCAAACTAACACATCCTGACACAAGTCAAGAAATTTATGAGCTGTAACGTTGTTGGCTGGTGCTGCTGAGTGCCGATGGGGATGAGTCAGGAGTGCATGGGTCCATGTGTGTGTTTTTGGGTTTGTGTTGCCAGGCAGGAGGGCTTTTGGCTTAATTGAAATTTAAACGTTTAACCCTCGGTGTCAGCAGTTAAGTCCTTTGTTTTGGCAGCTGTGAGCGTTTCGTGCAACTGACTCTTGGCCATTTCAATGGGCGAAGCCACTACAAGCTGTAACAACTAAATCGACGAGTGTAGCCACTATGCACACACTGTGTACACTCAGCTGGCCATGATTGTTGAATCGAAAACCAATAAATGGTGAGGGAATCAACCCAATTATGCCACCGAACTTTTGTAAACTTCACCTGCTGATTGGACCAGCCAGACACGCAAGTGGAGGCATTAAGCCCAAACGCATGAGCCAGCAAGTGGCCATTTTGGCTGCCATGGCAACCAGTTGGCCACCACAATAACACGGAGCATGCACCGACCACAGGCCCAACCACCTGACCCACCTGAGCCACCCGAGTGGGCGGGAAGCACTCACATGCTCACCTGGGAGCCAGTTGTGCTGGGGATTCCAGTAGTGCCGCCTGGCCATGTCCAGTGCCACTTGCTCTCCGCTTAATATAAATTTGTGCAAATTTGTGTGTAATAAACCGGGATGCCGGGAGTGTACAAATCCGCCAGCGACAGCAACTCAAAGGCACCGCAGCAGCAGTAGCGAATTTCTGAGCTATGCGAAAATGTCAAGCATTTTGTGCCTGTGTGTGCTTTCATTTTTGTATCAACAGCCTTGTGTGTATTTTCTTCATTTTTTTTTCATTTTTCGTTTTTTGTTTGTATACTATACAGTATACTTTATGCATGCCTGCAGTGGACAGTCCGCGCACGCTCGCTCTCTCGGCCAGAATTGCTTAACGGAATGCTTTGAGCCGGAGCGGAATTGGCCCGGCTATGCCTTTGGACCACTCTCTCGCGATTAACCTGCGGAATGTCAAAGTCAAGCCAGGATCGTGAGGTGGCCAGGAAAAGGGCAGCGCCAGGTTTCCCCGCACAAAGAGCGACTTCATCGCATTTCCATCCAGAACAAACAGTTTATTTCCTGCGCTGAACGGGCCTTTGGTCTACTACACAGAAACAAATATTTGCTTTCCCAATGTCCTAATTGAAAGAAGTATGTGTTCCTTTGTTTTGATTTCAGAAGAACTTACTGCCCTTTTGATTCCCTTAGTATTTGTTCTTGTTACTTATAATTGGCCGAAAATGTATTCCGAATAATTCCAGTAATTTTCGCTGAGTGCCCTTATCTTCCCTATTTCGTGGATTCGGCCCTCGTGGGTGGAGTGGCTTTCCAAGTGGTTTTTCAATGAAGTGTTAAGTAGGCAAAACTGCCTGGTTGGCTGTCCTCTTCAGCGCGCGCATATGTGTGTGTGTGTGTCCTTAGCTATTTTAGCCAGGACCCTCCACTACCGTGCGTCTGTATGTGTGAGCCTGGCTGTGTGTTTAGTTGTCGCAGGACTCTCTCCCAACCGCTCACCTGGCAAATAGTGATGCGGTCTGTGCACACCTCGCATCCAGAACGCCACTGGAAACACCCCGCACCATCGCATTGCCATTGTTTGATGGTGGTTATAAAGCTGACAGCTGTCAGTTGGCAGTAAATTTGCTAAAATGTTTATTTGCCAAGCGGCTAAGTTTGCGTTTAACAGCAGGGCACACAGAGACATTCACACATGGCCACCACCGCACAATCACAGACGTTGTGTAAGGCCACAAGGATATATTCGACCAGGGCCAAGGACCAAGGATGCCCAATGCCCCGGGACGCCCTCGAGTTGGCCAGGTTTAATCATTTATAAACAGCTGCAACAGCCGCTACTACTACAAATATGCGAGCAATTCCTGGCATGGCTGGCATGACAAATGTTTTGGTACTTAATAATAGAATAATTATGGCGACACCATACTATAAAACGGTTTAATGATTATGATGCTCATATCCACATTTCTCTGCAGGACAGCAGGGGTCACACTCACGACTTTGTGTGCATGTGTACACTGTGTTTGAGTTTAATTGCTATTTGGCAATAATGCGACTGGCCGTTTGTCCTTGAAGCATTTCCGCTTGGCCCACTTGCATTATCTGGGCCAATTCATTTCCACTTGCCGGATGCCACTCAATTTTTAAATTTTCTCAATTGCCCAGAAAGTTTCCACATTATTTACTCTACAGTAGCATTAAACTCGGTGAGAAAAACGGGGTATCATAATGGATTACAAGTTTTTAAAGACAATGACATGTATTTTTATACCTGTAATTCCAAGAGTATGATGCTATGATGTTACAAATTCAAAAATGTGCCAAGGCTGAAGTTCTAAAGTCCATAACTCAACTTATCCTAATTGGAACTTGAAGTGACATACCTCTAAATGTTTCTGGAGCAATTCTCTAAATAACTGCATTCAAATTTAGAATTTTATTTTTTTAATATTTTTTTGTCATTTTTCTGATGTTATGATGTTGTACAAATTCAAAAATGTGCCAAGGCTGAAGTTCGAAAGTCCATAACTCAACTAATTTTAATCGGATCTTGAAGTGGCATACCTTTAAATGTTTCTGGAGCAATTCTCTAAAAAGCTGCATTCAAATTTGGAAATTTATTTTTCCGAAATTTTTTTGTAATTTTTCTGATGTTATGATGTTGTACAAATTCAAAAATGTGCCAAGTCTGAAGTTCGAAAGTCCATAACTCAACTAATTTTAATCGGATCTTGAAGTGGCATACCTTTAAATGTTTCTGGAGCAATTCTCTAAAAAGCTGCATTCAAATTTGGAAATTTATTTTTCCGAAATTTTTTTGTAATTTTTCTGATGTTATGATGTTGTACAAATTCAAAAATGTGCCAAGGCTGAAGTTCGAAAGTCCATAACTCAACTAATTTTAATCGGATCTTGACGTGGCATACCTTTAAATGTTTCTGGAGCAATTCTCTAAAAAACTGCATTCAAATTTGGAAATTTATTTTTCCGAAATTTTTTTGTAATTTTTCTGATGTTATGATGTTGTAGAAAGTCAAAAATGTGCCAAGGCTGAAGTTTGAAAGTCCATAACTCAACTTATTTTAATCGGATCTTGAAGTGGCATACCTCTAAATGTTTCTGGAGCAATTCTCTAAAAAACTGCATTCAAATTTGAAAATTTATTTTTCCAAAATTTTTTTGTCATTTTTCTGATATTGTGATGTTGTAAAAAGTCAAAAATGTCACAAGACTGAAGTTCGTAAGTCCATAACTCAACTTATTTTAATCGGATCTTGAAGTGGCATACCTCTAAATGTTTCTGGAGCAATTCTCTAAAAAACTGCATTCAAATTTGGAAATTTATTTTTCCGAAATTTTTTTGTAATTTTTCTGATGTTATGATGTTGTACAAATTCAAAAATGTGCCAAGGCTGAAGTTCGAAAGTCCATAACTCAACTTATTTTAATCGGATCTTGAAGTGGCATACCTCTAAATGTTTCTGGAGCAATTCTCTAAAAAACTGCATTCAAAGTTGAAAATTTATTTTTCCAAAATTTTTTTGTCATATTTCTGATATTGTGATGTTGTAAGAAGTCAAAAATGTCACAAGACTGAAGTTCGTAAGTCCATAACTCAACTTATTTTAATCGGATCTTGAAGTGGCATACCTCTAAATGTTTCTGGAGCAATTCTCTAAATAACTGCATTCAAATTTGAAAATTTATTTTTCCAAAATTTTTTTGTCATTTTTCTGATATTGTGATGTTGTACAAATTCAAAAATGTGCCAAGACTGAAGTTCGAAAGTCCATAACTCAACTTATTTTAATCGGATCTTGAAGTGGCATACCTCTAAATGTTTCTGGAGCAATTCTCTAAATAACTGCATTCAAATTTAGAATTTTATTTTTTTAATATTTTTTTGTCATTTTTCTGATATTGTGATGTTGTACAAATTCAAAAATGTGCCAAGACTGAAGTTCGAAAGTCCATAACTCAACTTATTTTAATCGGATCTTGAAGTGGCATACCTCTAAATGTTTCTGGAGCAATTCTCTAAAAAACTGCATTCAAAGTTGAAAATTTATTTTTCCAAAATTTTTTTGTCATTTTTCTGATATTGTGATGTTGTAAGAAGTCAAAAATGTCACAAGACTGAAGTTCGTAAGTCCATAACTCAACTTATTTTAATCGGATCTTGAAGTGGCATACCTCTAAATGTTTCTGGAGCAATTCTCTAAATAACTGCATTCAAATTTGAAAATTTATTTTTCCAAAATTTTTTTGTCATTTTTCTGATGTTATGATGTTGTAGAAACTCAAAAATGTGCCAAGGCTGAAGTTTGAAAGTCCATAACTCAACTTATTTTAATCGGATCTTAAAGTGGCATACATCTAAATGTTTCTGGAGCAATTCTCTAAAAAACTGCATTCAAAGTTGAAAATTTATTTTTCCAAAATTTTTTTGTCATTTTTCTGATGTTATGATGTTGTAGAAAGTCAAAAATGTGCCAAGGCTGAAGTTTGAAAGTCCATAACTCAACTTATTTTAATCGAATCTTGAAGTGGCATACCTCTAAATGTTTCTGGAGCAATTCTCTAAAAAACTGCATTCAAAGTTGAAAATTTATTTTTCCAAAATTTTTTTGTCATTTTTCTGATGTTATGATGTTGTAGAAAGTCAAAAATGTGCCAAGGCTGAAGTTTGAAAGACCATAACTCAACTTATTTTAATCGGATCTTAAAGTGGCATACATCTAAATGTTTCTGGAGCAATTCTCTAAAAAACTGCATTCAAAGTTGAAAATTTATTTTTCCAAAATTTTTTTGTCATTTTTCTGATGTTATGATGTTGTAGAAAGTCAAAAATGTGCCAAGGCTGAAGTTTGAAAGTCCATAACTCAACTTATTTTAATCGGATCTTGAAGTGGCATACCTCTAAATGTTTCTGGAGCAATTCTCTAAAAAACTGCATTCAAAGTTGAAAATTTATTTTTCCAAAATTTTTTTGTCATTTTTCTGATGTTATGATGTTGTAGAAAGTCAAAAATGTGCCAAGGCTGAAGTTTGAAAGTCCATAACTCAACTTATTTTAATCGGATCTTGAAGTGGCATACCTCTAAATGTTTCTGGAGCAATTCTCTAAAAAACTGCATTCAAATTTAGAATTTTATTTTTTTAATATTTTTTTGTCATTTTTCTGATATTGTGATGTTGTAAAAATTCAAAAATGTCACAAGACTGAAGTTCGTAAGTCCATAACTCAACTTATTTTAATCGGATCTTGAAGTGGCATACCTCTAAATGTTTCTGGAGCAATTCTCTAAATAACTGCATTCAAATTTAGAATTTTATTTTTTTAATATTTTTTTGTCATTTTTCTGATATTGTGATGTTGTAAAAAGTCAAAAATGTCACAAGACTGAAGTTCGTAAGTCCATAACTCAACTTATTTTAATCGGATCTTGAAGTGGCATACCTCTAAATGTTTCTGGAGCAATTCTCTAAATAACTGCATTCAAATTTGAAAATTTATTTTTCCAAAATTTTTTTGTAATTTTTCTGATGTTATGATGTTGTAGAAAGTCAAAAATGTGCCAAGGCTGAAGTTTGAAAGTCCATAACTCAACTTATTTTAATCGGATCTTGAAGTGGCATACCTCTAAATGTTTCTGGAGCAATTCTCTAAATAACTGCATTCAAATTTAGAATTTTATTTTTTTAATATTTTTTTGTCATTTTTCTGATATTGTGATGTTGTAAAAAGTCAAAAATGTCACAAGACTGAAGTTCGTAAGTCCATAACTCAACTTATTTTAATCGGATCTTGAAGTGGCATACCTCTAAATGTTTCTGGAGCAATTCTCTAAATAACTGCATTCAAATTTAGAATTTTATTTTTTTAATATTTTTTTGTCATTTTTCTGATATTGTGATGTTGTACAAATTCAAAAATGTGCCAAGGCTGAAGTTTGAAAGTCCATAACTCAACTTATTTTAATCGGATCTTGAAGTGGCATACCTCTAAATGTTTCTGGAGCAATTCTCTAAAAAACTGCATTCAAATTTGAAAATTTATTTTTCCAAAATTTTTTTGTAATTTTTCTGATGTTATGATGTTGTAGAAAATCAAAAATGTGCCAAGGCTGAAGTTTGAAAGTCCATAACTCAACTTATTTTAATCGGATCTTGAAGTGGCATACCTCTAAATGTTTCTGGAGCAATTCTCTAAATAACTGCATTTAAATTTGAAAATTTATTTTTCCAAAATTTTTTTGTCATTTTTCTGATGTTATGATGTTGTAGAAAGTCAAAAATGTCCCAAGGCTGAAGTTCTAAAGTCCATAACTCAACTTATTTTAATCGGATCTTGAAGTGGCATACCTCTAAATGTTTCTGGAGCAATTCTCTAAATAACTGCATTCAAATTTAGAATTTTATTTTTTTAATATTTTTTTGTCATTTTTCTGATATTGTGATGTTGTAAAAAGTCAAAAATGTCACAAGACTGAAGTTCGTAAGTCCATAACTCAACTTATTTTAATCGGATCTTGAAGTGGCATACCTCTAAATGTTTCTGGAGCAATTCTCTAAATAACTGCATTCAAATTTGAAAATTTATTTTTCCAAAATTTTTTTGTAATTTTTCTGATGTTATGATGTTGTAGAAAGTCAAAAATGTGCCAAGGCTGAAGTTTGAAAGTCCATAACTCAACTTATTTTAATCGGATCTTGAAGTGGCATACCTCTAAATGTTTCTGGAGCAATTCTCTAAATAACTGCATTCAAATTTAGAATTTTATTTTTTTAATATTTTTTTGTCATTTTTCTGATATTGTGATGTTGTAAAAAGTCAAAAATGTCACAAGACTGAAGTTCGTAAGTCCATAACTCAACTTATTTTAATCGGATCTTGAAGTGGCATACCTCTAAATGTTTCTGGAGCAATTCTCTAAATAACTGCATTCAAATTTAGAATTTTATTTTTTTAATATTTTTTTGTCATTTTTCTGATATTGTGATGTTGTACAAATTCAAAAATGTGCCAAGGCTGAAGTTTGAAAGTCCATAACTCAACTTATTTTAATCGGATCTTGAAGTGGCATACCTCTAAATGTTTCTGGAGCAATTCTCTAAAAAACTGCATTCAAATTTGAAAATTTATTTTTCCAAAATTTTTTTGTAATTTTTCTGATGTTATGATGTTGTAGAAAATCAAAAATGTGCCAAGGCTGAAGTTTGAAAGTCCATAACTCAACTTATTTTAATCGGATCTTGAAGTGGCATACCTCTAAATGTTTCTGGAGCAATTCTCTAAATAACTGCATTCAAATTTGAAAATTTATTTTTCCAAAATTTTTTTGTCATTTTTCTGATGTTATGATGTTGTAGAAAGTCAAAAATGTCCCAAGGCTGAAGTTCTAAAGTCCATAACTCAACTTATCTATTTGGATTTTGAAGGGGCATTATTGGAAATTTTTTATTAGTCTTGTTAATTTTACAAACCGCCCAAAACTGTCACTACCACTCGTTTGAAATTTTTTAAAAATTTTAACACAATTTCTAACGAAACGTTGAAATTATCCGATTGCACTTTTACTAGCTAGTTAACGGGTATCTGATAGTCGGGGAACTCGACTACAGCATTCTACCTTGTTTATATGGTTTTAAAAATGTGCAGTGCAATTGATTGATATAATTTTTTCCCTCAAGTCTATTGTCTTAAAAACTCATAAACCGTTTTAATTTTGGAAAAAATGGAATACAAATGTTTCGCTGCTGAAAATCGTCGGCAAACCGAATTTTTTTTGGCCGTTGACTTTTTGCCACCATATCATCGTTCTACGCTCCGCCAGCTAATGGAGCTCAAACTTCCAACTGGGAGGTGAGGAGAAAAGTTAAATTTTATTGCATTTCCCGACCAACTGCTGCGAGCAGCGTTTCTTTCGGTTTTTATTATTAATTTATTAAAAGCCCGACGCCTGTCGTCTGCCGGTGGCTTTCATTCTCTTCTACCGACTGGGATGTTCAACGCCTCGTAAACCTTGCCAAAATCATCGCCAACTGAAAATGGCAACTGGCAGTGGCTGTGGCAGTAGCAGAAAATTAAATGTAAATCCGACGAAGGCGGAGAAATCGCCTGAAAGGCAACAAACGAATCGAGCTTAATGCCCGGCAATCGCCATCAATGAGCCTTTCCACTCCCTCAGTACCAATCCAATCCAATTGGCATTCGCTTTCGAGCTCTTGTGTTTATATAATTTAATTTCGAGTTGCAATCAGCTCGATACGTTTTCGCAGATTTCCCAGTTTTTTTTCTTTTTTATGTGCACGCGGACTTAGCTTGAGCATTCACATGATTATTATTTGTGGCCAAAAATAAGCAAGGAATTTCCGTTTCCGCCTGCGGTGGCGTTTTTCAAAAACTATTTTCCACGCGATTTAACAACGAAACTCACTTTGATATCGCGTGAAATGTGCGCCGCTTATGTGTGAAAAGGGAAATTTAAATCAAATGCAGAGACAGTGAATTTTTCATAGCATACTTTAGCGGGCAAAGCGAGCGCGGAGGTCCTGTCAACGCGTTTGTGCGCAGCGGGGGGTGGTTGGGCTGGTTTGGCAGCTGGAGCCCGGCTTCTAGCTGTCTATTTCGCTCTTTTGCCAAGCATCAACCTATTCCCGAGATGCCACGAGTGTGTGTGTGTGTGTGTGTGTTGTGTGTGTGTGTGTTGTGTGTGTGTGCGTTGCTCACTCTTTGATAAAAACCGAAATTAATTATTGACGAGAACATTGCCGCGGATGTTGCCTTTGCGTCCGCCCGTTGAAAATTTAAAAGGCGTTCGACTGAAAGAAGCGCACACCGCCACACTTGCACTCCGCACTCCGCACTTCCGTTTCCGCTTAAAAGCACAGAATGTGTTTGCTTTGAACTAGCGAAACTGTCAACGGCAACCGCAAACTATCGGCGGTAAGAAGGACCCGCATCAGAGAAGCCCTTAACCAAGCCAGTTGTGAGCAAACAAATTAGTGTTTAATTATACATAGACAGTGCCGTGGCCAACCCAGCCCAACTCAGCGCCACCATCATTAAACGGGAAAAAATGCATCAAAGCGGCGTAAAATGAGTGAAAAATCCAGCGAAAGCCAACAGCGCAACAACAGAGACAAACACAAGCACAAAGCCAGGCAGAAAAAAAGAGGACAAAAAGCGGGTCAGATACTAACCGCATTAGAGGATGCAGAAGCGTCCGAAAGCGGAAGTGAAGCGCGTGACGGGGCCGGCCAAGCCGCCTCGTCTGAAGGCCGCCAAAAAGCAGTTGCAGTTCGAGAGTCCGCTGCCGCGAAGGACACGCGCCAAGCAGCGGGAGCAGCAGCAGGACAACGACCATCCTCCGCAGCAGGAAAAGCAGCAGCAGCAGCAGCAACAGCAACTGCAAAGGCAAGAGGCAGCAGACAAAGTCATTGCTATGCCGGGCAGCAGCCAGGATGCGGACACGGATGCGGCAGCGGAAGCAGCAGTGGACGTGCCAGAAACAGACCCAGATCCTGCCCAGCTCACGGTGTCGCAGTCACAGTGCTCATCCTCCGCTGCAAGAAGGCGTCTCGCCGAGGGCTGCACCAGTCTTATGTACGCCTGTCAGCGGGGCGACATTGTCCAAGTGCTCGCCCAAATGCGCGAAAAGGTAAGATGGAAATGCACTCAACTAAAAACCCTCTGAATTGTACTTGTTATTATTAAAAAAAAGGTCTAAGGTCTTCATGATGTCTGGTTTTTAAGATTTAAATTAACTGATTCACAAAAATTGCATCTAGAATCTATCTATTTAAGTTTTTCTAAAAAGTTTTCAGTGCATGCTCTGAAACTATCCAGATAGACTACTTTCGCGCATAACAACACGTGTAAAGTCCAGGGCGAACAACAAGCCAACTGCGAGTGTGTAATGGAACAGGACTTGCCGGCTAGCATAAAGGATAATGGCTAAGCCGAGGCGGTCCAAGCATGACAAGTTGACTTCTTCCAGGTCCTCGCCTCTTTGGCTCCCAAAAAAAACCAAAAATAAATCCAGTCATCTTTTTTGGCCAACGACAAAGGCCCAAATCGGGCGGCCAAAGGCGTAGCAAGATTCTAATCTTTCTGCAGTCACGATGAGCCGGCAGAAAGCTTAAAGCCGAAAGGAAAACCCTTTCGAAATCTCTGGAAGCTTGGCAGCGAGGGTTATGGGGGTTGTGGGGGTTGTGGGGGGTCTTTAAATTTCCGTTGCAGTCATTTCGGCGCATTGTTCACAGTTCAGAGCGCCTAATTGCTTCATAAACATTTCTACAACAGGCTGGGCCGGCACAACAAAGGCGAGTTGAATTTGAATGCTGTAAATGGCAGGACATTTAAAATTGACAAAATAATCCCCCAAGCTTAGTTATGCCGGTCGAATGGTGAATGCTAAATGGTTCTTCTTCCACTCTTCTACTCATCCTCGCTCCTTGCTCCTTTTGGCCCATCATGACCATCATTTGATTCCCTTTCGACTGGTCCTTCAGTCCTTCAGTCGTTCATTCGTTCAGGCTCGTCCCGGTGTCCTTGGCCGTTCATCAAGCGCCTAAATATGCCAATTTCACATTTAATTGAAATTTGAAAAGTTTTTAATTGAACGCAGATAAATTTTCAAGGCCTGCTTTTTGGAAGCTAAAGGAGCCTGGCCATGTCCTCGGAAGCCTTTCGTCCTTTACCCCCTTTTTGTCCAAAGAATTGTCATGTTGCTAGTTTTGCAATTATTCGCCTGGCATTGTGAGCTCTGACAAATGCCTTCATTTCCGGCCAGTTGGCGTGCCTTTCGTCCTAGAAATTGATATTGACGCCAAATTTGATGTGAAATTGGCCGACATTGAGCATTGCGCACAGTTCGACAGCAGCGACTTTTTGCGCAAATACTTAGATGAGTTGGGCAAAATGGGTGAACCGACCCCTTCTGTAAGCTTACTCGGTCATGTAATTGGTAAATGACATTTCTGTTGGCCAACCTTGGCCGAAGCACGAAAATAAAGCGCTGCCAAGCAGTTTATTTGCCTGTGAAATATCGCAAATGCCGGCGATTATTACTTACTTTGTGGGCCGCGTTCTTTATGAGCCTCATAAAGTGGAACAGAAATATGGCCGCATTTGGCATTTTCGGTTTTCCCCCCTGAAAAACATCAGCGAGCCAATGAGAGAGCCCGGGCGAAAAATTGGTTTTCAACTTATGGGCAACGAGGCGTATGCGTAATGTGAATGTGCAGTGCTTATGTCAATTACTGTTTGTATTTTTGGAGTACAAAACCGTCTCGCGGTTCAAGGTTATTCAGTAAATCTGTATATAATTACATCGCCAGCCGCTGACTGATATTATTTATGTTCGGTTGCGTCTATATCCTTGTCTCGTCCTGAGCTTATGGCCCCTCTTGTGCTTTATTCAGTTATATATCTTGTTATATCTTGTGCCTGCAAGACATATTTTAATTTGTCTTGTCTCCGCATATCTGTGACTCTCTGTTTGCAGCTTTGATAAGGCCGCCTAAGCTATTAAAAGTTTTAATGTCTTTAATTTGCCGCCTTCTCTGGCCAACAGTCGCTCTATATATTTTTTGTGTTTTTTGCCAGAGAATAATTAAACAGCTCCACTTGGTTTTGTCGCCTCTGCCTTGCTGTTATGCTGCTTATTAAGCGCTTCTATATTTTTGTGGATATATTTTAATAGCGCTCATAGTCTGGAGGAGCTCTTGAACTATATGACTGGCTCTCTTTATTGGATTTCTGTGTTTTCGATTTATTGCTGTGTACAACATGGCGTATGAGTAACAACTACTGCAGAGCTGTTGCCAAAGCTGCTTATACACACATCGGAAATAGATATATATATATATATATATGTATTTATAGAAGTATATATATAGGGACAGTGGCTTTTGTATAGTGTAGCACAGAACGCTGGTGGCTTCTTGGCTTTTTGAGAGCACTCAAGCAACATTCATCGACGTTGTTTACTCGCCTGCTATTGTTTTGCTTAAACTTTTCATTGATGTTGGTTTTTCCAGCCACCCTTCAATATCTTGGGCTCTCGTCTTTATTGTCTGCCTGGGCTGTCGTTGTTGTTGCTGCTGTTGCTGCTGCTGCTGTTTTTACCAATTAAGACTTAATTTCTTAGAAAATAAAACTTTTTGGCTCCTGGCATTGTTGCTCCCGTTCCTCTGAATTCCCCGAGCTCGGTGCCCGCCTTTAGTTAATGTTAATGGCGTAATTGTCCCACCTTCGCGTGTAGGTCACTTCTCGTTGTTGTTCTGCAGCTACATATACTTGTAGCTGCTGCTTCAACTTTAAACCGCAATTTAGCCGAGAGTTCGGAGCTGAAGTTTTACACCGCAAGTTGGTAATTGTATGTCTATCTAAGGCGGTGTGTGTGTATTTGCCGCTGCCTGCCATCCCTCAGATTGCTGCAGGTGTGAATTATTTATTTTCACTTAAGATTTGAAGCGGCCCACAGCACCGCAGCTCCTGCTCCTTTTCACTCCACTCGGCGTGTCCCAAGCTGCTGGCCATTGGCTCCTTTTCCCGTTGGAGCTTTAAGTAAAAGTTTTCGCTGAGAAGTCAGCTGCAGAAGTTGATTTAAGCCAACCGAGAGCCGCAAGAGGCCCTTTTGTTTGTTGCAAATAATGTAATAACAAAACAAGCGGCAACTTTTTGAGGTAATGCTGCATAGGGTTGCATGTCCGACAGAGGTCTTGGCAGGAATACATTATGTCCCAGAAGAATTACAACACACTTATAATCACAAATGAAACTATGAATGCAGCGTATTGTTTGTCAAGCCCATTTATAACTTCTAAGGTACATGAGGCATATACCCATGCTCAACCTTGCCAAACAGGGTATGCCGAACCTAAGGGAAAAGCAAGTGGGAATTTCGGTGCGGCCCTGGGAGTGCCCGAAAGTTGTCGTTGAGAATTAATTTGAAATTCAGAAAGCCTGGTGTCTTTCCCTTTAAAATTGAAGCACCTAGTTGTTTAGGGAATGAACAGCTTCCATTAGCTGCTATCCTTCACTATTGACCTTCAGTTGGCATTTTTAATTACGCCCGTTCACAGCACTTTCCTTTCCTGGCCTTCGCCTTCCTTGGCCATTGCCGCTCAATCAACGTGCAAATTATTATCAATTTGGCCGAAATGGCGAAAGAAGGACTTGGTGGCTGGCGCAATCGGATCCTTTTCCGGTGCCTTTGCTCCGGCCACGGCTTGGTAATTTTAATTGCGATTTTTTGCCACCCTTTCCACGCTGCAGCTGCAACAGTGCTCAACACGTTTGGCACATTTTGTTGAAAATTCATTAAAAATGACGTCGAAAAAGTTTGCATTTCGCCCAGTTTGCTCCCTCGCTTATTCTGTGTGAGTAGCACTGGCTTTTCAATCGTTATTTCATTTGATTTCATTTGATTTGCCTTTGCCTTTACACTTGCCGCTGACTTCAGACGGTATCTATTTAAGTTCAGTCGCAGTCATTTGAATTTTTAATTAATCGCTCGGCTGTTTGCCGAAAGTCAGGTGAGAAAGGAATAAGCCAGAAACAAGGAGCGTTTGGAATCCAATCAGCGCCAAAGGATCCCTCTGATTGGATCGAAATATTTGGCCAAAAGCTGACCCCCGACATTTGCATGCGATTTCGGACAGTTTTGCATGTCCGTATACAATTAATTAGGCTGCGAGGCCCAACAAATGTCGAAATAAAAGTCAGCGTGCCCAACGAGTTAAATTAATGGCAAAATGGTGCTGGTCTGAGGTTTCGGTCATCATCAGAAGTTGGCCCCGACGAGCGTCACTGGGCTAATTGAGCACAAAAACCCATTTCCAATTGGGTGGAGCTCCAACTTTGGCCGCCGGACCATATGCGTCGGCATCGGCTTAGCCGGACAGCTGTCCAATTAATTAGAAACCACCAGAAATAGCAGACGGACTATTACGAGGATGACTCTCTCAGTTGAGTCGACTCAACTGACCAAAGTTTGCATTGGCAAATTAATTACTGAAATCGTAGAAATTTGTCTTGCAATGGATGCCCACAACTGTTTGGCTTTCGAGATGACTTCCTGCCCAGAAGTTGCCGTGCTCCCAGCTGTCCAGTTGGCCTGGCCGAAGTTGCAGTCCAACTGGAGTTGGAGCACATAGGATATCCGTGTATGAATTTGTATCCTCCTGCTCCTTATCCGGCTGCCTTTTTGCTCAAGGAAGCGCCCGGCGGGCTAATCACATGAGAGGTCCGGGCAGGGCCAAAAACTTTTGCCTCGGCATCCAACAATATTTGCTCCGAGTGCATAATGACAGTCAAAGTTGACACAAATGAGCATAGCTTGTTACTAATTTTAATGCGCTTCGGTGCACAGTTGGTCCTGCCACGGAGTGGGGGAAGTCCTGGCTGGGATTTTTGGGTTCGGAGCGGGGCAGGAGCGAAAGTTTTTGTTGCGGAAATTACTCGGAATGCGGCACTGACTGGCTGGTTATGCATAATTTTTAATTGACCAAGTGAAGTTCGCCAGCTCAGAGTTTCTAAAATATTTTGCAAGTTAATTCGATTTGGACAAAACTTGAGCCATGACTTACAACTTACAACTTGGCCAATGAATTATGCAGGCGACATGGACGCCAGCTCCATCCCCATCCCCAT